AGATTTATTTGAATAATTAAAGAAAATATAATTAAAAATAACTAAAAGAAAATAACAATTACCAAGGACGCGTTAGCTGACTTGAATTTCCATGGACGACTTAGTTTCACTGAGGAGCCATAGACCATTTACAAACGAAGTGGATATGTTGATGGACCTTCTTATTGATTACCATAAAGGAGATATTTGGACCTTCATCTTCATGGATCTATATTTCTCGATGGAAGTTTCAATGAAGTTGCTTCCTAATATGTAAGTATACCAAATTCATTAATGTGTTTTAAATGTGTGCCGTGGGTGACAAGGTGATGGGATGGGATCGAACGCATCATCTAACTCAGATTTATTAATTTCTAAGGACACGTGCTTTCATAGTTGGAGTAATGGACCTTCCTATTTCATCTTCATGGATCCAAATTTCTCTATGGAAGCCTCAAAGAAGTTGCCTCCTAACATGTATCCCAAATATTTCTCATTCAAATCGAGGTAACCAATTAGTAAGGGAGCACTAAATTTTCAAGTTTTCTAGGACGCATCTGTATGTAGGTGTTATCCTCTTTAATAAGACAAACGCAATTTAATAAATTAAAATATCTCATCATCTAATAAAGTTACTAATATGAGTTTTGTTAAATTGATATCTATTAATATAAAAATTTTAATTTAAAATTAAAGTAAGGAATTTAAACTTTTGAAATGTATTAAAAAAAATCTAACAATACCATCTCATTAGAATTTAACTTTAATAAAAAAAACAAATAATTTTAAAGATACAATTATACATGTAAAATATAGAAATATATTAAATAAACTATATTTATATTTTATTTTAATAATTAAACCACGTGAGTATTAAAAGGTGTATTGAAGCATAGGGTATACAAATAATTTTCCTTTCAAAATGCATTGCCCTCACAATTAAGATATAATTCTTAACATTTGATAAAGGCTCAAATTCGTTCTTATTCCATCAACATTTTACTCTTATATTAAAACCTCATCCTCTTCTTTACCCTCTTGATTTCTCTCTAATTTCCTTCAATTTCCCAACAACAAAACAATCTAGCAAAAATCCATAGCTAGATTGTTCAACTATTTCAATGACAGCCTCAGCACATGAAATTAAAATATAAAGTTAAATGGTACTTTGCTTGCAGTTTCAATTTGGTTCCACTTACAAGCTTACAATTAATCTTTTTAGAGGTTTTACTAAAAAAAATTAAGGAAACACTACTAATCCTTCAACTGTAGAATTTGAGAATCCAAAATTTCCCTCGAGAACCCAAATTTGGTTCCCCTTGAGAACCTTGTCAATCCACCCTCCATTCTGTTACCCTATCTTCCTTAGCACCATGCTTGCATAAATGTGGTCTACTAGGACTCATGAAAATAGAAAAATTCCATCCGAAGCACTCATAGTCTAATCTTGAATGGGAATTTTCTCACTTCCTTGGTCCAAGTGGACCATATGTATGCTAGCATAGAGTTGGTTAGAATAGAGTAATCGGAATAGAGATAGCTACATGATTCATGTGTTGAGATTTCATTTATTTTAAGCCAATTATATCAATAATATGAAGTTTATTGACTAAAACACATAAAGTGTATGTTAAGGATTAATGGCCTTGAAAACAAACAATTAAAGTGCTTCTAGGGAGGTTTTGCCATTTAGAAAATTGCCTTCCGATTTTTATTTTTATGCCCCCATACTTTTAGAACACTAACATTTTTGTCACTAATATTTTTTCCTTATTAAACCTTGGAGATACCATTAAGATGACATATGTTGATTATAAGCTTGTTAATTAATTAGTAAATCTTCATATAGTATATCTCTAATCTTTTATTTTTGGTTTAAATTTTCAAAAATTTAGAAATCATAGAATAAAATTAATAAGTTTTCTAAATTAATTGAATTTTTAATATGAGGTATTGGTATGTCAGCCAAAAAACATAGAAATATATTAGGTATTGGTAGGTACAAGTTTTATAAATTAATTAATTTTGGTTTTGAATTACTAATAATCTTGGTAACTAAAATCATAAATAAAAAATTATAACCATACTAATAAAAGTCTAAAAGTTACTTTGTTAATTTGAAAAAGTAAGTTTGGATCATCTTCAGTGCGTTCGGTTAATGGAATAATCAAGAACCTAATAAAGTAAAAACCATGAAAAAGGTCTTGAAGGATTAAAGAGAAACAAGAAAAGAGAAAAGGGAAAAAACTTTCTTATAAAACATTCCATGTTACATTGATAGATATAAGGTTAATATACAAGCCTTTTAATGATTGTATAAAACATTCAACACTCAATATTGAGTCCTTACTTTATATGGATGGATGCATTAGGAAAAATAGAAGAACTACCTAGATGTAGAATACATTCCACTTATTCTCATTCGAAGATAACTTCTAGTTCTCTATTAATTGGTTTCCTTGGGATATTGACACTCGTTGTCCGCACACCATCTCCATGGCCAAAGGGATTTGGTGGCACTGTCAAACTATCGACTTCTGCTTCCAACATTTCAATCACGGGTTTCATTGATGGACGGTCTGTTGGGTACCACTGAATGCACCAAAGTCCAACAATTGCAAGTTTTCTAGCTATCTTGGCATGTTCCTCAGAATCTATTCTAATCCCAAACTCTTCCCCTTTGTCCAAGCAATTATACACCCATTCTGGGAAATAAACTTGGCTCGTACTCTCTATTGTGACATCAATATTCTTCCTCCCTCCTACCATTTCCAACAATAGCATTCCAAAACTATAAACATCTGATTTATAGGATGCTTTTCCAAAGTTTCGAGACAATATCTCAGGTGCAATATACCCCACTGTTCCTCTGGCTGCTGTCATAGAAACAGCACTTTGTTCCTTGGAACACAGCTTTGCTAGACCAAAGTCTGAGATCTTGGGATTGAAGTTATGGTCTAGCAAGATATTGTGAGGCTTGATGTCAAAATGAAGGATTTGTTGGTCGCAACCTTGGTGCAAGTACTCAATTCCTTTGGCTATTCCCACAGCAATATCTTGAAGCTTCTCCCAACTGAGGAAACGATCTTTATCTTTGGCTACAAATATGAACTTCTCTAAGGACTCGTTCGGCATGTACTCATAAACAAGAGCTCTTTTATTTCCATCTGCACAAAACCCAATCAAGCGGGTAACATTGACATGGTGGATTCTACACATTGATCCCACTTCGTTACTGAACTCTTCCCCAGTCGCTCTGAAATTGTTGAGGACTTTAACAGCAACCAAAACATCATTAGAAAGGCTCCCTTTGAAAACTGTTCCATAGGCCCCTTCTCCAAGTTTTTCCTTGAACTGAACTGTTATTCGCTTGATGTCAGCATAAGAATATCTTGAGGGCTTGAGAGCTTTGTAATCCTCCAGAAAATTTTCAATCTTGAGTTGGCCTTCTTTCTCTGCTTTATATGAATGGTGAACGCGGTAAAGTCCAAAGGGAATTATTCCAAGAAGACAGGAACCTAGGACTATTCCTGTAGCCAATAGTACTTTCTGTACATCTGTAAAACATTAGAAAGTTAGCTTCTTGATATGTTCCTCAAATCTATTACAATCTGATATGACAAAACTGAGGCATCGGAGTTTTGCCCAGGGATGTAAAATTTTAAACTAGATGTTCATCTCAGAATCAAAATAAGAAGCATTGAAAGCAACAGAACAAGGGTAGAGAATTTAAAAACAAGGCGAAATCTAAGGAATACAGATGAACTCAGCAAGGATGGCATTCATAATATTTGGAATTGTTAAAGCTTAAAAGCATACCTCTATGTTTTTTGGATTTACCATAACACTCTGTCTCATCATGTGTAATATTATTATTTTTCTCCAGTCTGCATTTCTTGCCCACCGCTTCACATTTATTGCAGTCTGGTTTGGACCAACTCAAATGAACATCCCTTTCCTGGTGATACAACATATCTCGAGATACTGCTATTGCCGAAATGTTCATCAACGTTCTGCTGCAATTTAACAAACTAATAGCATAATTAAAATTGGAAGGAAGAGCTCCAACTTGGAATTCTGGGATGCTTAAACAAGGAATTGTAATATATTCATATACATAACGCGGATGTGCTTCGCGTGAACAATTGAAAATAGTGTATTTTTGAGGTGGGCCGTGGATTTTATCCCTGTAATCCTGGAAGGGAGACGCAGATAAATTGAGATTGGGAAGCTGCCGCGGGAGGCAATCCTCCGGATCGTATAACTTAATCCATTGTGCTTTGTAATTTATGCGCTTCACAAACAACTTCACATTACGCGGTAGCTCAAGCACAGCCTGATTTTCATCGTTGCAAGATAGTTCAAA